TCAAGTTTTCGCTGTAAAAACTGTACTCCAAAGGCCGTTAAGCCTGATTCAAGGACCACCAGGCACGGGAAAGACAGTCACATCGGCGACCATAGTTTATCACCTCAGTCAAATTCACCAAAAGAAAGTTCTTGTGGTGGCCCCGAGTAATACTGCGGTTGATCAATTATGCGAAAAAATTGACCAGACCGGACTTCGTGTTGTGCGTTTGTGCGCGCGTTCACGGGAAGCTTTGGTGTCTCCTGTTAGCCGTTTGATGCTTCATACTCAGGCCCAGGGTGTCAAAGGCCATACTGAACTACGGAAGTTGCAACAGCTGAAAGACGAAGCTGGTGAACTCAGTCAGTCAGATGAAAAACGGTATCGTGCCTTAAAGCGTGAACTGGAAAGTAAGTTGTTGCTTTATCTGTTGATCTTCCAGTATTTTGACTTGATACTTCGTGTGTTTGAAATTTTGAATTTAGTCACATTTGCGTCCAAATACCCGCCCATCAATTCTGATACATTAGCCTGACTACCTAAGCAGGTTTTCCTAAGCCATCAATCTGAAATCCACCTAATGCTTGCTAGGCAGATTTCGGTAGATTTCAGTCACATGTAGCAGCCGCGTTTTGTACAATTGAATCTAATGAATTATTCATGTCTGCCAAAAAAAACATTAAGTGAACTTGGTATTCATATGACGGTTTCTAGATTAATTGCTTAGTAAATCAACTTCCTGTACTTTACGGTAGGCTGGGTCGAAATCTCAACCAAAGTGAGATTAAATCGCTCCCAGCAGGTGATTAAGGCGGTGGATGCATTCAGGCGTCTTGCTTACTGTTGCGGTTTCGAATCCCACTCGGGCCGCCGAATTTTTAATCAGTTCATTTTTATGTTCATTTCTTGCAGAAATTTACCCACATAAGGCCTTAGGATTATTTTGTCGAGAAAGCAGGTATATTTTAAAATGCCTCACGAGATCTCATCCCACCTAATAGATTATAATTGGATGTAGTATTAATGAAGAAGAAGAATGCTATATTGAGGATTTTACAAACCTGAATTTTCAGC